TGGGAATACGTAGGAATACATTGGAATACATTGGAATACATCGAAAGGTATACACCGAGCTCAGGACATTTCATGGGGTCATACATGGCTCTCTAGCTACCAGGTCACCCGTTCCAACAAAGTTAACAACATAGTTACATCCTCGTGATGTATTTCTGAGAAGTAAGACTGTCTTCCAAAGGCGGCCGTCGCATTGACGATTGTCAACGCTGTTACTGCTATTGAATTACAGTTCATTACTTGGAAGGCTTAGCTAAAGCATCGCTGGGTGCCAGATTTGATAATCAAACGTACGTCTGCACTGTTAGATCCGTAAAATTTGGAGAGAAAAGAGCACTTTTTATAATTTGGTCTTTGTTCGAATAGGGTTAGTTTGCGTGAGCATTCCGGTGATTGAAGATGACGCTGAGGAAATTAGCAGAAGAAGGGAATGTGGAGGAACTCCGGAGACTTTTGAAACGAACACCCAACCCAAAAGAATTGTTGGAAACAAAATTTGGACAAAACAAGGTGGGAGTTAACGTATGAAACATAGATACACTACATTGAAATCACTTAAAATCGCTATTTCGTGTGTTATCCTCAGTAAGAATATGTGAAGTTCTAGGAAGTTCGCAGCCTCCTACGATGCTTTGTTGCCTCTTTGTTGCTTATTGTTGCATAAATTAGTTGTTTTAATAGGGTCAGACGCGATCCCCTAAATGATACACTGAATATTCTGCATGAAATATTTAGTTCTTATTAACCGAGCAGGAGGTCTGTATGGGAGAATCTTGACCGAAGTCGCCAGTACAGACCAAACGCAGTGAGGTCTGTACCAGCAACCGAGGTCAAGATTCTCCCATACAGACTGACCTAGCTCGGTTAATAAGATGTTTATTATATGGCTGTGTCTTATATGCCAAATTTTATATTCTTTGTACCTTTTTATTCTAGACCGGTCTAGATGCCGGTCTAGATGGGAAAATCTAGACAAATTTGAATATAAGTTGATTTCAGCTAAACAAATTTAGGAATTTGGTAGTTCCCTGTCCTTGTGAGACACAGCCATATAATAATTGAAATTAATCAATTTGTAAATCAGGGCTCTACCGGGGTTTGTTGAAAAATCCTGCACTCTGAGAAACATCTTTGCACAGTCCAAACAACCATCAGACTTTGTATAAACATTAACCCTAACCAAGATCTGCTTGTAATTCTCCTCTCTTGCTGTTACACATTTTGGTGTCTAGATCAAGATAACTTCTACCTGATAAGTTTGAGTATTCTCATTACCTGTTTGCTGGATAATATATGGATATTGGGAGAAAAGTTACATGTTAATCACCACTGGGAGAGGGTTGCTGGACGATAAAGATTGATTGGCTGATTCATGAACTTATTTGTTGATTGATTGGATGCTCAGATTCCCTGCGTAATGAATTCAACTGAATCATTTTTTTCTCTCTATTTAACGGTGGGATTTTCCAGATTTGTATGCGATATGTTTGTTTACTTTGACAGATGACTGCTTTGCATATAGCAATAGAAAAAGGCCATGAGGAGGTAGTAAAGTTGTTGTTGGAGAATGAAGCAGATCCACGTGCTACTGATCATGTAAGATAAGAAAGAAATCTTCACATGTGGCATAGTTTGAGTAAAGCTCCGATAAATATAATGGTCTGACAGTTAGCTTACCTCTGGGTTGAGAAGTGTCAGTTTGTTTCCTTTCTGGGCTATTTTCTTTTGCTTGAAAAAGGACCATTCAACACATGATATATAGTCAGCTTTCCACCTGGGAGTAAAATAAAAGGCCGTTTACACGGCAGAAAAATCGGGTACGGACTTGTCAAAAAAGGAGTACAGATCTGACATAATTGCCCGTGTAAACAATCCGTGCCATGTTTTGGCGGATGGCTACGGACCTGTGTTTTTTCTTGTTTGGGGCCATAGACATCTATGGCGCCAAAACCAGAAAAAACACAGGTCCGGACCAATTTCTTGCATCACGCGTCACCATTTTGTTTACAAGAATTACCGTATTTACTTGAATAAGTGCCGCCCTCGATTAAGCACTGCCCTTGAATAAGCGCCGCATCTGGGACAAAAAAAGTTAATAAATGCCACCCTTGAATAAGTGCTGCACCCCCGATGCAGCGCTTATTTGAGGAATTCCGTATAACCAGGAAAAACACTATAAAACAGTTTTAACACAGCATCGGCAATTTATATTCTTTAAATGTGATGTTCTTTAGTTCAAAGTGACTGTATTTCTCTGCCTGGGTTATGAAACGCTCGGGGTTTTTCCACTGCATGAATTTCTCTCGTAATTCTAGATTTACTATCAGTTTAGCATCAGTCCATAGGAAAATTGACAGATAGAAAGTGTACCGTTGAATAAAATATAAATAAATTTGTCTGGTACAATTTTTAAATAAGTGCCACCCTCGAATAAGCGCTGCACTTGTGGCATGAAAAATTAAATAAGCGCTGCGCCGTTTATTCAAGTAAATACGGTATGCATGTTCAATAACAGCACACAGCTGTATCAAATACTGTAGTCCCATGCAATAAATTGGTCTGGTCCCCCAAAATCTGCAGTGTAAATGCAACCTTGCTAACCTGGTCCTTATGCCTCTCTTTGTCTGACCCGTGATAAAACATCATCCATGTAAATGGCTAAAATTATGCAGTCGGTACTACTTTTTTGATACGTCTGTACCCGATTTTTCTGCCGTGTAAACCGTCTTTAAGATTTCACTATGAAAACTTTTAGGGAACTTGAGAAATGTCTGGATGATGGCAAGGGAGGGGGGGAGAGGTGGGAAGAAAGGTTATTAATAGTGGCAGGAAGTTTTCCTTGCCCAACATTATACATGTAGACCCGGTGTTGGAGTTACTGTGTCTGTACTGATGGATTTGAAGCATCAGTAGTACCTCTTAACCCCTCCCCCCCCCCTCAGAAACCCCATGGTTATTTGGCTGTTGTCCATTAGAGGGGTGGCTGGGGAATTTGAAACTTGCTTGGGTGGTATGGGGAATCAGAAGCAGATCTGAAGTGTCAAGTCTTTCCAGCAGGAATGTGTGCGTGAGCAGATAGCTCATAAGAAAAAGGTCTCTTAGGTCAAAGCTTTGATAGTCAAATAAATTGCTGGTCCATAACTTGCAGGGTCGCTAACTTTTCTTTTCATGAAAACAACTGACCATCAAACCTGGTCCTTGGTGAGGCATTTGAACAGAGCTTTGGCCCATGGGGAATAATGAATGAACCAATCTTCAAAAATTCAAATGCAAGGGGGGTTGCCTGGGGGAGAAGGTTGAAGCTTGAAATTGATCGATGCATAACCCACTATTAAAACAGATTTCATAATTGGTACATCTATTTCAGAAACCACAAATATTCTTTTAACCTTATTGTTAAAGTAGTCTAAGTATATAAAAGATTCAAAACATTGTTCCTCTATATGGTATTCTTCTTAATTCTTTTCTTTAGTATGGTCGCACAGCCCTTCATGTTGCCACATCAATTCAAAAGGAAAACATATATATATTAGATTTAATTCTCAGTAAAGATGTAGATGTCAATGCTCAAGAGGAGGTAAGAGATCACTCATTTGGTGAAACTGGAACAGTTGCTGTAAAATTTATGTCAAACTGGATGATTGTATGTAGCTACAGTAAAAATTGTTTTAGGTTAGAAGGAATTTAGGCTCAAAAGTGACTTAAAATCAAGTCAATCTGTAATATCTTTTTTGTGCCAAACAAATATTGATAACCTCATTTTGCCCTTGTCAATTACCTATTGTAGAAAATCAGGTTTTGTGAAACATTGTCAACTGAATATTATACCTTAGTTGGTAGTACTGTCACATTCTGATTGGCCAATTTGCTTTGATGAAGGGTAACTCAAAACGTCAGCTTTTTAAATCTTTATGGTGGCTGATTTACAATTTCAACTTAGTTGATAAAACCAAATTGTTGAAACTCTAGTTGGTTATTTAAATGAATTCTCCTTGTCTGGACTAGGGTAATGTATAAAGAATGGTATTGAGAGCATATATGCATGCTGATCTTAGGATGCAATTAATGTTATTAAGTGCTTAGGTTCACCTTTTTTCAGAACCGGAATACTCCAGTGAAACTTGCGGCAGAGAAGGGTCACTTAAAAACTGTGAAATGGCTGATTTCGAAGGGAGCTAATGTTGATGAAGCAGACAAGGTAATTATAATCTATTATGCATCATTATTTCATTGATAACCTTTTGAATAAACAGTATGATGTAAGTTGATCTGACTGAATATTCTCAGAGCTACAGATAAATTAATGGACTATCCATCTCAATTTTTTTCTTGCATTTTTAGGTTGACAACACCACTCTCCATTTTGCTGCTAAGAAAGGCCATGATCAAGTATTAGAATTGTTACTTACAGAAGTAGCTGACAGAACCATCGGAAAACAGAATAAGGTAAATTTTTTAAATTTTCATTAACCTTTAGACCTGCATATACAAGCTACAATCTAATCCATTTGCAGGGCAAAATTGTTGTGACTTCTGTTAGGACAGTGTTAGGTGGTGTGGCCAGATGGAATTCTCCATTTGTTTTAAAACATGTTTAAGCATTATCAGCAAACCTTTGAGCCTTAAATGAATCTTACCAGACATCTATGAACAAATAATTGATTTTTGAGCAAAATCATCAAAATTTAATTTCATATAATTTTAATTTATTACATTCGCTGACAGGCAGGGACACCGCAACAGCTTGCTTTAATTACTGCGGGACAGTAAACCCATCCATCCCATCCCAGGGGAGGACATCCACCACACAGTAATCTCATGCGACAGAATTTAACGTCTCCTACCCCTAACCCTGCAGGAGACGGGGCCTACGGTTTATTCGTCCTTATCCAAGAAGAGTAGAATATCTATATTCATTTCTTGATATTATAGAAAGGTAGCAAATTCTCCTCAGTTATTTTAAGAACATGAGTATTGGTCCTGCCAGGGCTTGAACCCTCAGCCTCCTGCACAACACAATCCGGCACTCTAACCAATTAAGCTAACCGGGGTGATGGTGTGGGACTGTTTTCTGAAGCAATCATTATGTTTTCTATGCACGGAAAGCACAAAGGGCTTTTTAACAAGGATTATTATTCCAAAGGGACGGTGGCATTTCAAGATCAACCATCAAAAAATTTCTTGTCTTTCTCTGGAGTATATGCACATACATTTCTGGGTGAACAATTGTGTCTGTTTCGATTCAATTTTTCACAGACTCAAATACCCATTAGTGGTCTCAAATAATCACAGTTAAATTAAAATTGTCTTGCAGGATAAAAAGACGGCTCTACACTTTGCTGTTGAAAGTAAAAGCGAGAGATGTGTTGCGCTTCTGTTAAAACATGGTGCAGGAATCTGCATTGAATCAAAAAATGAGGTTTGGAAATAATGATTCATGTTTCATAAAATTACAAGATGATACCCGTGTCTGATTTGAATTTTCTTAACTTACAGGCAAGTTCCCTTAAAGTTTGCAATATCAGTATTTGGTCAAGCAGAGTAAGGTCATGAGCTAAAAAAAAGACGCTAACTGGCAGATATTGTTTGATATAATGTCACCTAATTCTCAGAGCTGAAATTATAGTGAGAAATGGTTAGGAATTGTAAAGAAGAATTGATCTATAGATCTTGAGAGAAAGAGAGAGAGGACAGGCACTGTTGCAGCAAGTGGTTGTAACATAGTTCTCCAGATTAAGAGTTCATTAGGTTTAGTCCTTTATTGATTACTGTTAGTACTATATTTCCAGACAGGAAACTTTACCCTGACTGTGGCTCTCTCCTTTCAGGGGTTTAGATAGCCAGAGATTTCATGAACAATTTTGAACTGCTAAAATTGAGAGCGTAGGGTAAAGAAACAGAAAAGACTTAAGTTAGTTATTTTCCAAATCTGAATGAAAATGGCATAGTCTTCTGGTTTTACATGTCTAAGTCTGTGATGTGTATGGCACATAATCAGTGACTAATCATTACAAGTAAAAATAATATGGTTGGGGGGGAACTCTAGTTTTCAATATTTCTAATATATTCTTTCTTCCTATCGTCTTTGAGCTTTCATTTAAATTTAACACAGCAAAAATGAGCGCCTAACAAATTTGATGATTTTTACAGAGCTTCATGAGTAAATTTGATACAGCTATGCTGAAAATCATTTTATAAAACATTTACTCACCAGTAGCTTATGGTTCTGCAGCAGGATCACTGATCAGCCTGAATTTCCCTGTCATTCTTTATTCCACAGCAAGGGCGAACACCATTGGACCTAGCAAATGATGATCCTAACCAAAACATTATAGATTTACTGAGGAATCCTAAAAAAGCTCATGGGGTCAGTTTGCTTGATTAACACCAAAACTTTTCTTTAATTTATATCCTCTAATGCTGATCTAGTATTAGTTGTTAGAAGAAAAATCTTAGCTGCTCTTTTAGATCTGGAGCTGAGTCCTCCTTAGTCTTTGTAGTGGCTTACAAAATGTAAGAGTGGATTGGGGAAGAGTTTATGGTGGGAGCAAAGGGAAAAAGACTTTCTCTTGCACCATCTACCTACCCATCATACCTTGCACTACCAACCTAGAAGCCACCTGCATTAAGTGTCTCGTTTATTTAGGAGGGTTTAAGTTAAGGTGTAATGGTGTGGGATGAGTTTGAGGAGGAAGGGCTCATTTTTCAAGCAGCATCCTGTAATACAGCATAACCCTGATCCAGTTTATGCATGACATTATAAGATGCTTCATGGTGACGTTAAGTTAAGACCTTGACTTGATCTAGCCAATTGCAGAGTTTCATTTCATTTTGACATACAAAGGGACATATGTTAGAAAAACAGCACTGCACAAGTAGCTTACAGTGAATATGGAAAAGAAAAAAAAGTATCATTTTGCACCCTTACTATGATTGACTTATTCTCTGAAATTCCTTCTAGTTTCTGGTGGGGCCCAAGTCAAATATGTCAAAAGCACTGTTAGGAAAGGGTGGCTCTGTGGAACCTGATAGCTGTAAGTCACTCACAATATTTAGTGGAAGCATTTTTCAATAGATGTATGTGGACAAAGGTTACAAACAATTTTGGCAATCTTAAATACGCCCATAAGGAACAGAAAAAGAAGCTTTTTTTTTTCAAGACCAGTAGACAGACTTTTGAGAAACAGGCCCCTGCTTTGAAAACAGGAGTTATTTACATTAAATTGTTGTTTGTTTCATCTTCACATGCTCCCTTTGAAGGTTGGTTTGCCAGGTAATCATTGACTTGATATGCCTTAATGTGACAGCGTGATGCTGTTAGTGAGTTTCACATGCGATGGTCAATACTTGGCCTTGTAGCCACGTGATGTGGTTCCAGTCGAGACCCACAAATTAACCCTTGCTCACCATAGAGTCTTCAGTAGCTCAGTGGTTAGAGCATCCGATAGGATCACTGAGGGTTGTGGGTTCAAATCCCATCTGGAACTTGGATTTTTTCTTATTACATTAAATTGTTTCATCTTTACATGCTCACTTTGGAGGTTGGTTGACCACATCTTGACATGCTTTAATGTGACAGCGTGATGTTGTTAGTAAGTTTCACATGCACTGATCAAAACTTGGCTGTGTAGCTGGGCGATGCAGTTCCAGTCCAGACCCCCCAATTGACCCATGCTCACCATGGAGTCTCCAGCAGCTCAGTGGTTAGAGCATCCGACTAGATCATGGAGGGTCATGGGTTCAAATCCCATCTGGGACTTGGAAATTTTCCGATTATACGTTAAAGAGTTGGAAAATGCTCAGAAATAGGATAAGGATTTTAAGAGCCATGTTGAGCACCCCTAAGATGAAGGAGTGAGGGCAATAGGCATATTAACCTCTTCCCTTAACTGTTTGTCCAATGAGGAATTGACTGAAACTGAAGTTCCTCAGTTTCAATACAGGAATTAACTTTTTTCTTTCCTTCCTTTTTACTTTTTATAAGTAGGTCCTTATGATGCAGCTCACCAAGAGTTTCTCAAAAAAATACCAGAAGCAATTTCTCAACTTTCATCAGATGGTGGTGAGTTTTTTCATTGCATTTCATATTAAATGATATATTTTGATTGTATGCTGCAGCCAGTAACATTTAAACTTCAAAACTCAAAACACATTTACCATATGTTAACTGACTTATTTAGTAACAGTTGTATTACCTTTAAAAAGATATGAATAAGTCCTTCCTTTGTTTGGTTGTTGAAGGTGTGTATCTTTCTCTTCACTGGGTGATTTACTTTTAAATAGAAACGTTTATTCAGCTGTGGAGACAGTTCCCCTTAGTTTGTTGTCATGTTTACTGGTTAAATTTGTTACAATTGTTTTTGCAAATGATTTTTTCAGTTGGCTCTGTAATTCCTTTAAGTGGAATAAAACTAAAATGATTGTTAAAGCTGATATCAATTTAAATGTTTCAGCCACTCCCATTCAAGTGTTTAATGTCTCTGGAGATCTCAATTTTCGTAAGGAAACTAATGTGACTGTCAAAGATAAGGCGATGGCCAGCATAGGGTCAGGAAGTCAAGTAAACATCACTCAACCTTACAGTGCATCAAGGTAAGTGAAGTATTCTTCTTCTTCGAGAGTCTAGTACACTACCCCCTTCATTACTTGAGACACACGGCTACACCTCATCCCTTTATCCTCCCTAACCAAAAGGATTTTTTCGGTCTTCTAGAGAAGACGAAAACGCACTCGTTTGCTCCAGCTTTTCTCTGCCATGATCAGAGATCTATTTCTCCCAACAGGTGATCTTCCATGTCAATGAGGGTTTGTCCGGAGAATATCTTGATTGTCATTTCTTGTCTACCAGATAGTTAGTTAACTGTACGAAGAATTTAAATAGCGACCATTTTTGAAATTATTGGGGTTCAAAGGAAAACAGACAATTATAAATGACACTTTTGACCACAATTGGTTGTAATGTCGCAATCTGATTGGCCAAATTACCGTTATCGATAAAAGTACAAACAACGCTGCTCGCGTTAACGTGTCGCAGAACTTGTCACGCACTGAAGGAATCGTGAGTCCACAACATTTTGACCACTGTGATGACGAATATCGATAAGAGAACAGAGCGCGCTAAACCACTGTCGATTTATTAATAACCATACCTGGCCCCAGTTGTTCGAGGGGTGGATAAGGGTGGATAACACTGGATAAGGGTGGATAACACTGG